TGGGTTGGCGAAAAGCCACTCTTAGAGCCACTGCCACGGCTCTTTTGTGCCCCTTTGGTGCAGCGTGCAGTCGCCCCAACCCAATTCCACCCCCAGGCCAGCCTAAAGTGCTGGTCTGCATCCCCCCCTAAAAATGGAGAGGGCAGCTATGAAAGAACTAGAAAAGATTCGAAAGAGCAAAGATATACAACTACGCATGGAAGTTAGAACCATACAAGCTGTTTATTCCCTATTACCATGTATGGATGCGAGAGCTAGACAGTTAAGAAAGCAGAGAGGAAGAAAATCAATTCATTTGAGATGTGGTGCTGGAGAAGAGTGCTGAGGACCGTATGGACAGCTAAAAGGACAAACAAATGGGTCCTAGAGCAAATCAAGCCAGAAACTTCCCTGGAAGCCAAGATAAGTAAACTTAGGCTGTTGTACTTTGGCCACATCATGAAAAGACACAACTAATTGGAAAAAACAATACTGTTGGGAAAGGTGGAAGGAAGTAGAAAGAGAGAAAGGCCACATGCCAGATGGATGGAATCTTACTAAGGAGACCACAGAGATGAATTTATAGGAACTAAGGAGAGCAGTGGAGGACAGCGAGTCTTGGAGATGTCTCATCCATAGAGTCATCATGAGTCAAGATTGATTCGAGGGCAGTTAACAACAACAAAAATAGATAACACATGAAAACCTGAATTACTTACTCATTCATAGCTCCCCAAAACCATAGTCATTTCTTCCCTCTAGCTGACTGTGCTGTCTCTATTGCCATCTCTTCCCCTATCTGCCTTCTGACATAGATAAACCTCCATTTTTAAAACATTCATTTCCCACAGCCCCCCCCCCCCCACTTCACAGCATTCTATGAGCTGTTTGGCTGGCATCAACCAGGCTTGTTCAGCTCCTCTTTTCACACTACTTCACAGAGTTGTTAGAATTTTTCTTTAAATGGTGAACAGATGGGTCTGGGGGAAAATAATATACAGTTAGCTCCAGGAAATAAATGGAAGACAAGTACAGTGGTACCTCTACTTACGAAATTAATTCATTCCACAACCCATTTCGTAAGTAGAAAATTTCGTAAGTAGAGGTACATTTTGCATAGAAATGCCCTAATCCGTTCCAAGCCCATAGAATAGCCAAGGCTGTGGCTGGAAGGCCGCCTCCTTCCAGCCCCTCCAGCCGCAGCCTTGGTTATTCTATGGGCTGATCCTGGAAGTGGAGGATTCCTCCACTTCCAGGATCAGCCCAAGGAATAGCCAAGGCTGCAGCTGGAAATTTTCGAGTTACAAAATGCTTCTAAAAAATATTGTCTCTACATACAAATATGTTTCTACAGCCATTCGTATGTAGAGATATATTCATATGTAGAGACAATATTTTTTAGAAGAAGCGTTTCGTAACTTGAAAATATCATAACTAGAGCCTTTTGTAAGTAGAGGTACCACTGTAGTTCAGAAGCACATAAAGCCTTATGAAAAAACAAAGCAGAAACAGAACCAGGGTGTTGCTTTCGTTATGCCTTATTACATGACGTTGTGCTTCAGTTCTCTTCCCACAAGAGGCAGTCATAAAAGGTTGCCTTTTGTCAAACAGATTTCCCTAGCTAGAAAAAAGACTCACTTTTACAACCATCTCCCATGAGAAGAGAACTGAAGCACTACGATTCATGTAATAAGGCACGCAGAAGGCTGCCACTCTTCAGCTCCATTTCTACTTTGTTTTCTCATGCAATAAGGCTCATAGTTGGAAAAATTCAATTTTGTTAAAGTAATGTGTGTATTCCAATGGCCTTCAAAGTGTCTCCTTTAGACTCCAATCCTGTACACCAGCAGTTTCCAACCTTTTTGACATGCAGAGCCCTAAGGGCCCCACATAATACAGGTTGGGAATAACTGCTGTAAGATTCCTTCACCAGTGTAATGGCTTGTGTGTTGGGCCAGGACTCAAAGGGACCAAGACTGAAATCCCTGCTCAGCCATAGAAATCCACTGTGTGACTGGGAAGGTTTCATTGTCTCAACCTCATAGAAAGGCAATGGCAAACCTCCATCTGAATACATGTTGTCAAAACAACAACAACAACACTGATAGGTTCAACTTAGCATTGCCATAAGTCAGAACATTAGCAGAAATAATTTGAAGGCACACAACAAGAAGTCCCACTGAACTCATTGGAGATTACTTCTGATTAGATATGTTTACAATTACATTGAGAGCCAGTGTGGTATAGAAGTTTGAACGTTGCACTATGACTCGAGACCAGGGTTTGATTCCCCACTCAGCCATGGAAGGCCACTGGATAACACTGGAGAAGTCACAGTCCCTAAGCCTCAGAGGAAGGCAGAGACAAACTTGTTCTGAACAAATCTTGCCAAGAAAAGCCTTATGACAACTTTTCCTTATGGTCAGCATAAGTCAGAAAACAACTTGAAGGCACACAACAATGATTACATTGTTGATGTAAGTGAAACATAACTCTAGAGAAATAGACTGTGAGAGCCAGTAAATCCCTTCCAAATTGCAGGGTTTTTTTCCTATGGCACAATACAGGTCTGGCACATGCACACATACACACAAGGTTAGTAAACAATGGTGGGGAGGAGGGAAGAAAATCAACAAAACAAAGCCTTAAAGTATAGGTTTATGCAAATCTCAAAACCAAGCAATAACAGAACTGAAGCATGGGGATATATATTTTCAAATCAGGAATGCTTCTCTGCAGTATTCATTCTGTTTTTAAGAAAATTAGAAATGGAAGGAAAATCTAAAATTCATCTAAGCAGGGAAATCTATGTGTGAGAGACAGAGAGAGAAAGCACAATTCTGGGGATACTATAATTTAAAGGGGGTCTCTTCAAGGAAAGCCCTGATTCATCTGCTTTTAAGGAGCTCTTGATCTCATTCTGGCAGATTGGGAAGGGCAAGCCCCTCCTTACCAGAATGTAAACTCCTTCCTTCTGAGTTAATTAAGTACTACTCACTTACTACTTACTTTTGCAACAATTGATACAAGCAGTATTGAGAGAAAATTGGGGGAAGGAAAGCAAAAGTAGAGCATTTAAAAATCAGTGTAGAAACCAGAAAGAAAAAATTAATTGTGACTACCCCACCTGAACTGGAAGAGTGGCAGGATATGCAGCAGTTATGTTGTTTTTGTCATGGCCTCAGAGATGAACATAGGAAGCAAAGTGCATTAGAAAGAATAAAGCCCCAATGTGCATTTCCTATATACTCTTTTCTTTTTAATGTCTCGAAATAGAGGCTATATTAGTTAATCCCATGATATAGAAGGCTAGGCATATCTCTGTTTGTTATAACTGGAAATATTTAACTTCAGTGCATAAGGTACAAGCTTGCAAAATCTCCAGTAATATCTATAACTGATCTTAGTATGGCCTTTTGAACTAAAACTACTCTAGCATCACATTAGAGGAGGACAAAAATCTAAAAGGGATAATATTTTTGAAGCATTATTTGTTCTCCACAAGAACATATCTATTGCTCTGTTGGGATGTAGTTTAAACACTTTATTAGAGACTGCCATTTTCAGTCCTTTTAAGCATCTTTAAAAGCTGCTTTGTTAATTGCAAACCATATTTAGTATGACCTCATAATAATGTAGCACACCTCAAGTGTCAGGGCTGTCTGTGCTGCATGTGCTGAAGCCCTGTTCATTTATACTAGACAACTGAACTTCAAGGGGAACAAAGTCTTGATAGGCAATTAGCGGTAATTAGGAAGATTCAACTTGGAAGTGTCAACATTGGATTGCTTTTTTAAAAAAAGGATGAATCTGATCAGGGATTTGAAAATAAACTTTTTCTCCTTCTGACATACAGGTATGGCATATGAAATATGAAATGTTAATTTAACTTTTCTGCTTATTATTCATGTGCAATATTATTTTGTCATTCAGCTACTACTTTGACAGAGTGCAAGGGATGTTAAAATAGTGCTGGTGGAATAAAAGATTAATCTACCACTGGCCAATTAACCAAAGGGTACTTAATGGTCTCTAAAGGCTGAAGAAGTCTAGCAACTATCTAAAGTACTCGTTAAAAAGTCCTTTGGTTTACCTTGGTTTGTCTGACATTTTCTGAAATGCACTATTCTCCTCTAGCAAGTATCTGGAAATAGTTTATAAATATGTAACTTTGGCAGCTTTTACTAAACTGAGCTGCTAAGGAAATTTTACCTTTTAGATTGTTCTTTTCATGTTGTCCTGCCTGTCTTCTAAATTGTCCATTATGTAACAGAAGAAATAAGACTACATTACTTAACAATAAATATTCCTGAATAAAAATTCAGATTTCAACATCTGAGTTACTGAATTTTATATCTTCTTGTCTGAAATCATTTGCTGGCAAGAGTGACCTTACACACCTCTCTGTTTTCCAAACTGGGAAGGATATTTGGTGTATGAAAAAAATTATATAGCAAATATATGTAATCCACACATCTGCATATATAGCAGATAATTATGAGTATGCTTACCTTAGCGCCACATCATGTTAAAATTTTGTAAATGGAGTAAAAGTCCTCTAAAAGTTGTGTAATAACTGATTCAGTCTGTTGCAGCAATGACCATTTTCACCTGCATCACATCTCACTGTCCCTAGGAAAGCTATGTTCAAACTTTGTCCTATTTATATTTCCATTCACTAGCCACACTAGCTATCCAAGCAGTGATGTTAGATAATGTTGGCTGATGGTAGAAGTGTAGTTGGAAAGGTCTGTAAGCATCTCTGGAGGAAAATCCAATAGCCGGGGAAATTACATTTTGCTATCAGCTTTGAAACATGCTCTGATGTTGATAGGTATTTCATAAAAAACAGTTCTAACTTGGAACAGCCTAGTGATTTCTGGCACATAATGCCAAGAGTTACAATTTCAGGTAGAGGGTTTTGATGTTTTAGTAGCATAATGAGCTAGCTGTAGTGTCCTTCCTTGCAAAACATTATCCTCAGTGTGTTGATAAATGTTTTATTGCTGTAAAGAAGGGGTGGCCAACATGGTGTAGTGGTTTGAATGTTGAACTACAATTCTAGAGACCAAGGTTCGAATCCCTGCTCGACCATGGAAACCCACTGGGTGACCTTGGGCTGGTCTCATTCTCTGAGCCTCGGAGGAAGGGAAAAGCCAAACCCCATCTGAATAAATCTTGCCAAGAAAACTCTGTGATAGGTTCTCTTTTGGGTCGCCGTAAATCAGAAATGACTTGAAAGCACACAAAAATAAAGGGCTGACCATGTTCTATAGATCCATAGGCCAATTTCTGGAACCCTCTGGGGTCCAAAAAAAAAATGCCCCCCAAATTAAAAGATAACCCAAAATTGGAATGTGCTGGAAGTTGGCTTCAGAGAGAGAGAGGTGGGGCCCTTGTGATCTACCTAAAAAGTTAATTGCAACTACATTTTGTTTAAGGAGAGGCAATTCATCTTTTTCTTTTTGATCAGGAAAAGATCATTTGAAAAAGTTTCAGGGAAGCTAGAGCTGCAATGCAAACTGAGAACTGCAAGGGAGCATGCCGCCCCAGGGTCATATTTTGTCCCCCTTAGCCCCCCTTAGTCTTAGGCCCACCTTCGAGATTCCGAGTCCAAAGGGGAGCTTCGAGAAGATCTTCCGGTCTTGACCCCGCAAGCATCTACAGCTACCCACTGGGATCGTGGGACTCTCGGTGCCGAGGTGGATGGCTCTGCACAGGAAGGAGAAGCTGACTCCCCAGGTTTGTCTACCCCAAAGACTTCGACATCCCCTGTGAATAGGGGTGGCAAGAAGGTTGACAGTCTCGGCAAAAAATTCTATGCTTTGGAGGTTTGGGATATGAAAATAGCCAACTATGCCGCATGTATGGGCGCCTACCAGCAACATCTAATGGAATGTATGCTGCCCCTGTTAGATGACCTGCCTGATGACAAAAAGCCCTTGGCATTGGCTCTCCAAACTGAAGCCCATTCTATAGGCAAACAACAAATCATTTCGGCTCGCCATTCAGGCAATTGTGTGGCCAAGTTGATCTCTGGCTCGGTGGCGCTTCGGAGGTATGCATGCCTCAGGTCTTCGGATCTGACTCCCCATGCCAAGAACATGATCGAGGACATGTCATTTGATGATTTGGGGCTGTTCAACAAGAACACTGACAAGTGTCTGAACTTCCGCTACAGGATAAAAATGGCAGCGAGGAAGTATGGTATGTCCTCCTCCTCCTCTCACCATCAGCGCCACCGATTTGGGGGTCAGCAACCTTGGTTTTCTTTAAGTCAACATAGGCCTTACTACTCCCAGGAGAGGCAGTTCCAACCCAAGCTGTCCAGAGAGAGACACCCATCTCAATCATCCTCCTCCTCTGGCCACCGCCCACCTTCACAGCCACGGTACTGACCAGGATGCCGCAAAAAGTGCTGAGCAGCCTAAGAAAACCTTATGAGGTTTTGCCATGCACTTTGTTTCCCATCCCTTTGGAAATAGGCTGAGACCATTCTTTAATACTTGGTCTCAGATAACTTTGGACTCGTGGGTTCTTAACATCATTGTCAATGGCTATGCCCTCGAGTTCACTGAGCTTCCTGTCACCAGAGCCTTTATCTCCACCCCCACCCCCCGACACCCTACTCAACGAAGTGCACACTCTTTTGGCCAAGGGTGCTATAGAGCTTATAGATCTTGTTAACTTTCGCTTCTGTTTCTTTTCCCGCTACTTCACGGTACCAAAGAAGGACTCAGGGCTCAGGCCCATCCTAGATTTGCGTCACCTGAACAAGTCTATGGCCTACTGACACTTCTGTATGGTAACCCTTGCATCTATTCTACCAGTGTTGTAGGAGGACCACTGGATGGCAACCCTCAATCTCAAAGATGCCTATTTTCACATCGGGTTTCGAGAGGATCACAGGTTCCTGACTTTTGCTGTAGGTCACCAGATGTTCCAGTACAGAGTTCTCCCCTTTGGTCTTTCAATGGCTCCGAGGGCGTTTACAAAATGCATGGCACCTATTATAGCCTACCTCCACCAGTAGGCGATATCGGTCTTCCTGTATTTCGATGACTGCCTCCTAGTCACCCTGTCTCGGGATCACCTTGTCAAAGACATCGATTTCACCCTATCGCTTCTCCAGTCGCTGGGCCTCATGATCAACTTTAAGAAATCCTACCTTGTTCCTACAAAAAGAATCAAGTTCATCGGATCCATCTTGGACTCGGAGAGCTTGATGGCTTACCTCCCCATGGACCACTTCCTAGCTTTGAAAGGGGCGGTAAGAAACTGTCTGTCACAAAGGTATGTCAAGGCCCACACCGTCCAGGTAGCTCTAGGCTACATGGCATCCACAACATATATGACCCCTTGGACCCGCCTGCATCTGAGACCTCTATAGACTTGGTTTATATCGGTGTTCGATCCTGCACACAATCTCCCCTCTCGATGGCTCATGGTACCAAGAGCGGTCTCCCGATCCCTGCGTTCATGGCTCAATCCTGAGAATGTCTGTATAGGAATGCCGTTTCTACCTCTGCAACCGCAAATCTCTCTGATGACGGATGCATCGATGGAGGGATGGGACGCCCACACTTCAGCATCAAAGACCATTGGCTCCCTCAGGAACGCCAGCTCCATATCAACGAGCTCGAGATGTTAGCTGTGGAAAAGGCTCTTTGTGCTTTTGAACCCCTGCTCCGGACCAAGGTAGTCTTCCTGTCAACGGACAATACCATGACCATGTATTACATCAACAAACGGGGGGGGGGGGGCACAAGGTCTCCATCGCTTCTCGAGATCACCTTGCGAATTTGGAACTGGTGCATCCCGAGGGGAATCACCTCAAGCAATTCATCTTCCCAGAGAGGAGAATGAACTGGCGGACCAGCTCAGCAGGTCCTCGATCTTGTGCCACGAGTGGTGTCTCCATCCCAAGATGGTCACCAACCTCTTTTGGGTGTGGGGAGAACCTGAGATCGATCTCTTCGCCTCTCACCTGAACAGTCAATGCTGCCAATTGTATTCCAGGTTCAAGGCCCCAGGATTTCAAGGGGATGCTTTCCTGTTTCAGTGGTCGAGGAAGTTGGTCTACATCTTCCCACCATTCCCTGTCATCACAAGAGTGGTCACCAAGATCAAGACAGACCTCTCCAATGCTATTCTTGTTATGCCTTGGTGGCCCAGGCAATCGTGGTTTGCTCCACTCTTGAACCTATCCAAGAGGAAGTTTCTCTGCCTCAAACTCCAGCCTGATCTTCTCTCCCTTCACGACAACCGAGTACACCACCCAGACATCGGCAACTTGCTGTTGGTGGCATTTTAGACCACCTCCCACATTCAGTACAGGCAGTGATCAGAGCCTCTCTCAAGCCATTGACACAAAAGTCTTATGCCTTGAAGTGGGCAAAGTTTTCAGACTTTCTGGACAACAAAAACCTCCCGCGTCTCAGTACTGACCATCCTGAAGTTCCTGATGACTTTGGATGATTCTGGCCTAGGTTTGCAATCCATCAAGTGTTATCTTTTGGGCATCTCTTCTCATTATCACTTTCAGGACAAGTCTTCTTTCTTTAAGGAACCTTTGGTAAAGAGCTTCCTCAAAGGTTTAGCTAACCTACACCCTCCTGCCTCGGTACCGACACTGGCCTGGAGCCTCGACCTAGTTTTAGCAGGTCTTTCATCCAGACCCTTCGAACTTTTGCCCACCACGGACCTAAGATTGCTGTCTTGGAAAACAGTTTTCTTGGTGGCCATCACTTCAGGTCGCTGCGTAAGTGAATTGTGTGCGCTATGAATGGACCAGCTCTTCCTCCACTTCCATAAGGACAAGGTTGTTCTTCATCCCGATATTACCTTTCTGCCCAAGGTAGTATCAGCCTTCCACTTGAACCAGGACATCGTGCTTCCCACCCTGGCCCCGAACTCGACTAGCTGCATATACTTGATGTTCGTAGAGCGCTTGCTTTCTACTTGGACAGAATGTTGGGCTTGAGACAACCCGAATGCTTGTTTGTCTGCTATTCGGAGGCTAAGAAGGGGCTTCCAGTTTCATCTCAGAGGTTTCCTAAATGGGTGGCCAACACCATCCACCTCTGTTATGAACTTGCAGGAAAGGACCTTCCAGCCAGGGTGCGAGCACACTTGACTGGGGCAGTAGCTGCATCCTCTGCTTTTTGGTCTGGGGTGCCCTTGGAGGATGTGTGTAAGGCTGCTGTCTGGTCTCAAACTGTGACCTTTATTAAACATTACAGACTGGACTTGAGAGTCAGACAGGATGCAGCCTTTGGGAGGGCAGTGTTACTTGGTGGTTTGCATTAAGGTAATATGTTTATTCTATTCATATCAGCCAATGATAATTAATCAATATTTTATTGTTGTTAATAAATACAGTTTGTTTCAATTTGAAATTGGTGTCAGTACACTCCCTCCTCCACTGACCCAAGCTTGTCAGTCTAACCCATTTGTGTGATTTGCAGAGACCACGAAGAAGAAGGACATGTTGCTTACCTGTAACAGTATTTCTTCAAGTGGTCATCTGCGAATTCACACAAATCCTGCCCATCCTCCCCTCAGTTGCATCCTGCTCATTACTAAACTGCTGTCGCAGCTTGCGGTAAACATTTCGGAACTGGGAAAGAGCAGGACCGCTAGGTGACTTTATAGGGATGGGTGGAGCTACCGCCAAAAAGTTACAACTAAAGTTCTGCCTAGCAATTCTAGAAGTTTCCTAAGTTGCTGCGCATGCACAGATGAAACCCATTTGTGTGAATTCACAGATGACCTCTCAAAGAAATACTGTTACAGGTAAGCAGCCTGTCCTTTCATGCTCATGTCAAGGAAAAGCAACATGGGACATACAGTAATAGAAATAAAAA